GTACATATCACTGCGGTTTCCAACAGAAATTAACACTAGAGGTGGTAAAACATTGAGTACTTGTAATTGTTTTTGTACACAGTTATAATTACAGCTCCATATGTTTCGTTTTCTGGACGTAATAAGCTTGCTTGGTAGCTCAGCCACCACAGAACTAGACTTAGGATGCGGAATCCTTGGGTACGAATCCCATGAAAAATATGACTCATGCTGAAAGATGAGACATTGAAAAACACGCTAAAACGGCATGCTTGCGATTGTGTTGTTACGTCACATTCGCTTTTGTTCATACTATTGGGCTAGGTTTAGATGTAGAGCAGATGGTACATTATTTCAAAACGTCACAGAGCATTAGAGTTATAGCGCCACTCAACGGACATTTCAAGTCAGAACTGCGGTGACACGTACAAAACCAACGTCATATAAAACGTACCATATGTACGTTCATCTGTTCCGGGGGAAAAAAAACAAACAAACACTCTTTTAGCGCCACCCAGTGGACATTTCACATTGAATATGTCACGAAATGTACATGGAGGTATGTATTTCGCGTCTTGAAAAAAAGTTCCCACAGGTACGTTTTCGTCATGAAATCAGGTTGCGGTTGGCTGATTAGATATTTGTGTTAACAAACACACCTGCAAAGATACATTTATGGCCTAGAAACTTCAATCGCTTTTTTCTGAGATTTCACGATTTTATTAATTTCTATGATTAGGTCTGAAAATAACACTCAAATTACCTGATATCTCCTGGTTTTCCATGACTGTGAGGACCTAAAACACTTTATGCAAGCTTTGATTGTGCAAAGCAATGCTTATTGATGATCTCCTTAATAAATTAATGTTTTCACTTTGCTGTGCATATGTTTTGACACATGCTGCATGTTGTAAGAGGCCATTAAATACAATAGGTTAAGAGAGAAATGTGCTGTATACGCATCTCCACCAACTGCTGTTCGGTTCCACTAAAGTGAATCTCTTGTGTCAGCATGAACAGTGAGAGCACTTTCACTTTCATTTCCAGTGCACAAGCTACCTTCCAACTTTCACCATAACAACGCGTCACAAGGTTGACATGCTGGGGAACCTTCAGTGCCTGAGGGAAATGAAATTACGTCAACTGCAACAGAACATCTTATCCTTCTGATAAAATAATGCTTTACCGTTACAGCTGGGTGTTTTTTTTTTTTTTTCTCGTCATACTTCTCTGATTCTCGTACTCGTTACCTGTTGTATTCAGTGGTCTAATTGTGTTCATTTTTAATAATTATTTAATTACCATAACAACTACATTTTAACTAAAACGATAACAAAAAACATAAAAACTAGCATAAACAATAAACAAGCATAAAATGCACTAAAATATAGAAAATTTTAAATCGTAACAAAAATATAAATATACTTATACTTCATTGTTCGAAAAATAAATAGCCAATGAAAATACTAGAAATCATATTTAAACTGTGGAAAAAACAGTTGCAACAGTGCTCTAATGAGCCGCCCACAGTATCAGTTGAACGCCCCCATGATTTCCACTGACAGGAACTTCCTCAAGGAATACCAGAATTTGGGCATCACCTACCTGACAGGTGTGGTCAGTGTTTCTGGCCTGTTTCATTTTGACCCAGCCTGACAAGTGTGGAATGCCAGGTGTCACTTCTCAAGGTATAAAAGGCAAAGCACAATGTCACATCAGCATCTCACAGCATCTCAGCTTCAGCTGCACTCACTGGAAAACAGTAGAACTACAACAGGTGAGCAAACTTTTCATTTGACATTCAGTGTTACGCATGATGTACATATACTGCATTTGACATAAATGTAATTCTCAATTTTCTAACTAATGAAGATTTATTACATGATTTCAGAAAATATGTTCTGGATTAAAATCACCATCGTTTGCATGTTCATATCCCTGCTGGAAGCCCATAAGGAGTGCGCAAGACACATAAAATGGGAGCATCTCATTCAGTCATTAAATTCAATGGTAAATGTCCTTAAAACAACATAATTCTGATTTCTACTAAACGTGCGATTTTAAAATACACATATGCTTTGTGTTTTCAAAGGGCACTGCGATATCTCACGACTGTGCATTTGATTATGAAGAAGCCAGTTTGTGTGATCCACGTCATCTGGCCAATATGGTTTGTACATCTGCCCATATTCCGTATGTTGCTGCTAAATAATGTTTTATAAAAGGTTTAAAAAAACAAAAAACTAAGATTAATGTTTTGCTCTTCACAGGTGGATCATAATGCAATTCTTCTGGTCGACATTATCAAGAAAACAGAAACAATGTACAGGGAGAATCGAAACCCACAGACGTTTATTGAGGCCCTACATCACACCCGTCACACCCTGAGCAACTGTGTAAGAATCACAAATGTGTTATTATAAAGTATAATACAGCCACACAGCTCATTATCAACATGATAATCATGTTGTCTGTGTTTTTTTTTGGTAGATTCATCACTCTGACAATGCTGAAAATGAGCCTGTGACCACATGTTTCAACAAATTAGAAGCTTTTCTAAAGAAAAAGGTAAGATATTAAAGTATTTATCTGTCTGTCTGACTGTCTATTCATCCATATTAATGTCTATATATTTCTATTTTTTTTTTCAGTCCCACTCGCAATGTGCATGGGAAATTATTAATTCAAAAGTGAGGGAGGTTCTTCAGAGGCTGGAGAAACGCTCCGTCAGACAGCGTCGTTAAAGACTTTATCATGCATGTATTAATGCTTATATTTAATTGCAAAAAGGTGACATTTTATAAGCTTGATGGATATATGTACAGTGGGTACGGAAAGTATTCAGACCCCCTTAAATTTTTCACTCTTTGTTATATTGCAGCCATTTGCTAAAATCATTTAAGTTAATGAAATGCACATTATTTACAAAATCATGATTTATTGAGTTTATTGCTGTGTGAGATAAGTAGTAGTACAGATTTAGTTTTTCTATTTTTCTAATAAAATTGTAATGAAATGCAAACACTAATACACAGAATGTGAGATTATTATTATTATTATTATTATTATTATTATTTATGTTTTAGTGTTAAAATATGAGTCTTCTATGCTATTGTTAGTATATGATCTTCTGACACATCCATTTGTACTAATACTACCTAATGTTAATGTTCTTGAACAAACATAATAAAGAAAACTAATAAAATCATCATTCTGTTATATATGGTGTTTGAAACTGTATTTTATATTGGTACAACATCTACATCAACAAATCTGATGGTACACTGGGCAACTGTTTGGACAATGCTGCCGTCAACAGGCAACCAGGTGAGACACAAGGACCACAACCAATCTAAAATATCCAGATAGAAATGTGTTACCCATTCTCAATAGGAAAGTGCCCAAGCAACATTGTTTAAAAAAGAAAAAAAAAGGTTGCCCAGCAGAATTGCTCACAAAGTTGCCCCGTGTATCATCAGCCTAAATCTCTTTAAAAATCTAAAGCACATTTTTCATTTGTTAATTTAGGGATATCAAAATATGATTTCCATTCTAAGGCACAAAAGCGGTTTATTATTTTCAAGAAATCATATTGCCTGAAAATTACACCATACAGGCCTGATTGTGAATGATGCTCCTACAATGGCATCTCCTTGCAGGTTTTTACACAAACAACAGACGGCAGCATTTATATACTCTAAAAATAACGGTTGCAAAGCTACTAATATGACTAACACTAGTTTAACAACGTCAGAGTTAACTTTAACCCTCTACCGCATGGTGTAGCCATATGGCAACATACTCTTTGTGTTCATTTCCTTGCCACTGTGTCTTTAAGAGAACATTCTCGTTTTTTTTGTTGGAAAGAGAAGACCTTAGTTTAGCCAATGATGTGCTTTGATTAAGTCACATGACATGCAGTTTTTTTTCTGTGGCGAGATTTCTGACAGACTGCTGTCTCTTGTCGGTAGTTGCTGAAAGCAAACTAAAACGTCAGTAACAAACAAGGACCAGTCCGTGTCACTTCCACAAAAAAATCTAAAACATCACTGTTATGATGTTATGATGACATATTCACCTCTCAAAAAAGTTTTTATAAAATTCGTTTTTGGTAAATCATTCAAATGTATGTGTTGCCAAGTGGCAACACTGTGCAATAGTGGAATGACATTATTACAATAGTTTATGGGTGATGTCCATAGTCTTCCTCTCAAGAGATTGCATAATGCTGAATTTTCATGAACTGCAATGTTTTTGGTTTTATGTCAATGTTTAATGATACATTATATACAGTATTATATTTGTTTTAACTGTATACATTTGCAGTTTAAATAATATTCTTGAAAAATGTAATGAAATTAAAACAAATATAAATCATTGTTCAGCAAAAAAAGAATAGAATAAATAAAAGCACAAGTTCTTGGAAAGTATGTATAAGGTGTCAATTATAAGTAAGTACTGTGTTAAAGCTTATAATAGCACCAATTGAATCAACACAAACAACATTTCTGAGGAAAAATATTAATTATAAGTAAGCTTACACTTATTCTAAGATAGATCCACTATTGTATGCTGTTGCCGTATGGCAACATATCATAAAGTACCTTAAAAAAATATTTTTTTCCACATTTTTTTTACAGCACTTCAAGTTAAGCCATTCTTAGAAAAGAAAAAGATTCAAATATTTTTTTCTATAGGTCTATCATAATGCGTGCGGTTACTAATTAACTTGTAAGGTGAACGCAATTATAAGTACGCACATTTACAGATGACAGAAATAAACTTACTGTAAATTTAATTTCAACGTTGCTCTTTGACGGCATCTCACAGTTTCCGGAAATATAGCCGGACCATATTTGTCAAATTACTGTCCCGCCTACATCATCTTCCTACGCGGAAACGCCGCCGACAGCGTTTACTATTGGTTAAAATTCCGACAGGAACGCGGGATCTGACCAGCCATTGGCTGAGAGAGCTGTCAGTCACAAATAGTATTGCTGCAGTTACAGGAGGGACAGCAAAGGACGTGCAAGAGGAGACCGCTGGAGAGAGAAGAAAGGAGAGGAGAGGGGAGGACAGAGTCCCCGAACCGGCACCGTTTCATACAGAGTTTTATTTATTCAGTATTAAGTTTAAAAAGGGAAGATGGCTCAGACAGACAACAAGAAGTTCTTTGAGAACCTGACGGGCGCTGGGAAAGCCATAGCAGTGCTGACGAGCGGAGGAGATGCGCAAGGTAACGTTACACTGCCATCATTCTGACAGCTCATGGTCATTCGGTTCACATTTCTTATACCTTTAAATCCTTATTATCAGTGTTATATTGGATCCTTGTGTTCAGAATGATCTCTACATAGTTTCACTTTGACATGCGATGTGCATTCTGTTACATTGTACACTATTACCAGCGTTAAATTGGCTGTTCAGTTGCATTGTATAAATGCAAGTTTGTTAGAATCTCCTACTTGGGTTTGCTTCTCGTCAGGATGGATGAAATGGCCCTTGAAGGTCCGAAGGGATGGAAATGTAACCATGAGACGATGACAAAGTCACCGATTTTGCAATGTGATATGTTTGAGCGATCCATGGTTGACGTTTAGGATCAGTGTAGGACTGCTTGCTGTTTAGACTGATTAATATTGGTAGAAATGCAGGTTGAGGTGATGGTGAGGAGATTGAAGGATGAGGCAGCTCTCAGTAAATACATTTGAGCTCATGTCAGATGACAGAAGCTTTAATTTCTATCATAATGTTTTCAGATAGCAGACAGCTTTACTTTACGTATCTGTTGCGTTGGTGTTTAGGTGAATGAATGACATTTAATCAATACATGTCACTGCATTGCGGAATCATGTGACCTTCACGAACAGCACACACGTAGCGTGTCTTCACTGTCTCCATCCAGCCGAAAAGATTATGATTCGTTCTTATGTTTGCTTAACATTAACCGTCATCTGTGTGTTACGTTACCTCATATCAGCGCTTTTCTGTCTGTCAGTCAACGAAACGATGATTTTCATCAACCAGGAAGTCGCTGCGCTTTTCACAGTGGCTTTCTCGTGTTTATGTTTTAAAGCTCATGACTGTTTCTTCATTAAGTGATGTGTTTTGCAAAGAAGAGGTGATTTTAGGGTGTAGGAAGTCTGAAGGATGCGTACGTGAGGAGCCGCTGCGCGAGGGAATTGAGACCAAGAGTTACGTCACAAGAAAATGAGTCATGTGACCAACGCGCACGGCTTTAAACTAATGTCACGTTTTACACAGTGAAATAAAAAACACACCTTCGATGTGAAGTGCAGTTGTTACCTTAAGAGGTTTCTACCTTTTGTGAATCTAGTCAGGCAGATTTAGTCGTATTAATATTGTCTCGAATAAAATATGCTGCACAGTAGCATTCCAGTGATCCTTAAATTACATGATCAAGTGCAAATACAAACAAACAGCCAGCTCTAACCTGTTTTCCCAGTATTTTTCTACAGATATCCTTCTAACGTGATCTGTCTGTTGTTCCTCTGCATGCAGGAATGAATGCTGCTGTTCGGGCTGTGGTCCGAATGGGAATATATGTTGGAGCCAAAGTGTACTTCGTTCATGAGGTCAGTGTCTAGTTCATTTCTGCATAATTCAGATGATTCTGTTCATCAGAATGATATGGCTTTACATGCTGTATACTAATGTGTAAACATTACTAAGACAAATATGTCATTGCTGTATAACATATGGGTGCAATGACTCTCAATGTTGCTCTCACAAATGACCAGTCATTTATTTCCAATATAGAAATGTTTCTACTTAAGAAGCATTATGAATACACACAGGCTTTTTTAGTGAAATAAGTCATGTATTGTAAATAATATTAATCCATTTCAGAGTTGTTGGCATAGCAGAAGTGTTCCCACAGTGGTTTGAATTAAAGCCCCATGTATCTGGCCTCAAATAAACATGTTTTTTTCCATTAGCATCATATAGCATCTTAGCCTTGCTTGAAGAGATGTCTGGCTGTGATAGGCCGAATATCTTCACCCACTCTGCTTTTTTGCAACTGCTGCAGTGAAGAAACCCACACATCCATTTTCTCATGAGTCCACCCTCATTCTTAAAGGTGAAGCGTGTCATTTGACTTGTTAAATAATTTGTTTGTCGCATTTGCAAAAGCAAGCATTTGCTAGTGGTGCAGAAATGACACGCTTCATCTTTTTGTAAACACAAAGCCCTGTCTTTGCCCAGACAGAACATTGACTGCCAATCTCCGTAAGCTGGTTCATATGATTACTTGAATTCATTTCTGGTAACTAAGAGGAATTCATTTCTGGTAACTAAGAGGTCATTCAAGGATAAGAGGTGCGATTTTAAATGCATGTTTGTTAGGCTTGCCGCGATAGACGGTGCTAACGGTGATACCGGTGTTAAGCCGCAACACCGGTTACGTTACTTGCCCACCGCGGCACCGACCCCCACCGTCGTTTTGATTTTTTATAGTAATAAAAATCATTTAGTTCAGTAAAAGAACAGACACTACAATTAAAAACTGAACGCGGCTGCTCAATGCAGCGTGCCGAACGACAGTCGCATCACATGTGCTTGATGATATTTGTCATTTGTTATTTACTTTGATTTATGGAGTAAAGTGGATTTCTTAACCTGAAAATTAAAAGTACTTATGTTAAAATAGCACAGAGCAATAACATATTTTACATCTATTCTAATGCATATCTTTGTAACTTAAATGAAGTTCGCAACGCAGGTTCGGGAGGAGCCTAATCAACCAGTCCTGCCAATCATCGTTTCGACCGTATATAAGCAGCAGTCATTGTTCCGTCAAAGCGAATATTCTTCCGGCATAGTGGCCCCGCCCTATTCCGTGAAACATGTCCCACCCCGACGAGCTTCAGCTGTTCACCTCCGACGAGGAACTTTCCCGTCCTTCGGAGTCTCCTTCCGCCACTCAGCCGAACCCAGCTTCCTCCAATTCAGTTTCTCGTACCGGCCACTCCAGCAAGGAACGAGGTCATCCTTCTCGACGCCCTCCTTCAAGTTCGCCAAGACGCCGCCTCACACCGCGGTCAACCCCGCCTCAAAGCAATGAAAGCGAGGAAAAGAGGGAAGGCCCCCACCCCCACGGTGATAACGGTATTACCGGTGTTGTCACACGTCGATTAACCGGTGGGAAAATTTCCTCACCGTCACAACCCTAATGTTTGTGTGTTGTACAGGGATATCAGGGTATGGTGGATGGAGGCGACAACATCAAGGAGGCGACATGGGAGAGTGTGTCCAGCATGCTGCAAATGGTGAGTGTGATGAGAAGCATACAGCCCCTCAAAGCACTCGAACATACCAATGCTGCTAGTGTCGCAAGATCAATAGCTTTTCCATTTCATGCTTGCGGTGGTTAAGATTTTGTATGCTTGTGTTTCAGGGAGGCACTGTTATCGGCAGCGCACGATGCAAAGATTTCCGCACGCACGAAGGTCGTCTGAAGGCGGCTCATAACCTGGTGCAGAAGGGCATCACTAACCTGTGTGTGGTTGGTGGAGACGGCAGCTTGACCGGGGCCAATCTGTTCAGAGAGGAGTGGAGCGGGCTGCTGGCAGAGCTGGTCCAGCAAGGTATGAGCTGCAGATGACACAATAGAAATAAAATGTATTGAGGGTTATTTTATGTACAAATTTACATGCAAAGCAATTTAGCCGTTTAAAACATTTACTTGAATTTATCAGAATTTTGAAGGTATTGGTCATGAATTTTCTATGATTTCAATTAGGCTTAAATTAGCCAAAAATAAAGATCAAACACAGAAAAGAAAAGAAAAAAGTTTGGCCAGAATCTGATCTAATAGGCTTTTTTGTTGCTGTTTTTTGTCGCAGGTCTGATCGATGAGGAGGCAGCTCAGAAATACTCTGCTCTTCACATTGTGGGCATGGTGGGCTCTATCGACAATGACTTCTGTGGCACCGACATGACAATAGGAACAGACTCAGCCCTCCACAGAATCATCGAGGTGGTGGATGCGATCATGACTACAGCTCAGAGGTACTTCAACAATCCATAACAAAGAATAATTTAAAGGTTACATGAATCTAAAATGACTTTATCTAAAAGCACCAGATGTTTCTTGTGAAAAAGAAATTCCTATTTATTGGCTAATAATTCTACAGTCACCAGAGGACATTTGTGCTGGAGGTGATGGGCAGGCATTGTGGGTAAGATTCTTACATATTATCACCAACTATTTTGGCCTGGATTTGTTCAAAATATATGATTGGCATGGTGTTTGTGTGCTGCATACTGTTAAATAAGACACTGTACTCTATATATCTGTATGCGCTTGTGTATAAAGCTATCTGGCATTGGTGAGTGCCCTGGCATGTGGAGCCGACTGGGTGTTGATTCCTGAAATGCCCCCCGAGGATGGCTGGGAAGAGAAAATGTGTCAAAAACTCTCTGCGGTAAAACAAAAATACATCACTTCTCACTAAACTACATGCAGCACGCTTGATCAACTTCTCATGTTAGTCAGGTGGTCACACTTGTATTACATTCAGTTTATTCTTACAAGTTTTTCACCTGGAAAATTGTAAGCTTGTGGTTGTGCACAGTGTTAGGGAAGCAACTCTGACAAGCTGCACGCTATGATGTCAACTGTATTAACTACAGATAAGCTTCACTTTTTATGAAGTAGAATAATCTATTCACTGAAATGTATACTGTAGCTTTCCATCACAACTTGTTAGAGACATTCTAGAAGTGTGTGATATTTATGATGGATTTATCAGTTGTAAAAATTTGTATGCGAAACACCCGCACTACTAAAATACAAGTCAAGTTAGCAGCATCACTACTCTTCAGCATTGGCTGTACTGTACATACACATTTACAGGTTACGTATTTACCCCATTTATCCACATCTGCATACAAAAAAATAATTTTCCACTAGTCCCAGAATGTAATGTTTATTGGTACATACTCTTCTGTAACATGCTTGTGTTTTTTGTGAAACAAATGTGTTCACTGCCCCAGACGCGATCCAGAGGTTCAAGGTTGAACATAATCATAGTCGCTGAAGGAGCCATTGACAGACATGGAAAAGCTATTACTTCTAGTATAGTCAAGGATGTGAGTACTGAATGTTTTCAAAGGGAGAGAGCAAAAATCTGGAATGGTCCATAACTGGAGTGGCCCACCGCCAATAAGACTCCAAAGAGACTCAAAGACTTGCTGCAAAAACATTCTACAGATTCTACTACATGCCATAAGATGTAAAAGGGTTTTCACACTGACAGCAATTTGCATTGATAACTTGATAAGTCATTCTTTTTCACCGGGAATTGGATACAGCATTTGGATACAGCAGTTCAATAGCAACCAGTAGTACAGAGTCTTGCTGGCCCTGACCGTATGTACATTGACTTGGAAAATTTTAAAATAGTTATAGTGAATTGAAATTACAGTAACTGTATATACGAACAGCGACTTAGTAGACAGTGCAACAACTTGGCAACTTAACCAAAAGTAAAGCAACTTGGTGACTATAAACAACAGTACAGCCACTTGGGGACATGGAACAACATGCAGGAGCAACTTGTAGACACTGGCCAACAGTACAGCAATTTGGCAACCTTGAACAATGGTGTAGTAACTTGGAAACCTTAACCAACTGTATATGGAGAGCGACTTGGAGAAGTTGACCAGCATTATAGCAACCTTGACCAAAAGTTGTAGTGACTTGGTTACTAACAATATTGTTTTTGACCAACAATATAGTGACTTGCCAAAGTCACTATATTGCCAACTTGAGGACATCAAACAACAATATAGTGACTTGTAGACACTGACCAACATTATAGCAACTTGGTGACTTTGACCAACAGTATATGGACAGTGACCTGGAGATCACGACCAACAATACAGCATCGTGGAACCCTTGACGAAAACTATTGTGACTTGGTGACCATGATCAACAGTACAGCAACTTGCTGACCAACTGTATACAGAGAGTGACCTGGAGATGTTGACCAACATTACAGCAACTTATAGGGTATAGGGAATTGGTGACCATGGTCAACAGTACAGTCATTTTTCAGACACATCTTTCGGACTTAAAGACCTTGATTAACAGTAGCCATCTGAGGACACTGAACAACAATATAGTGGCTTGTACATTTTACCAACAGTACAGCAAATTGGCAACACTGACCGAAGAGTATATGGACAGCAACTTGGCGATCTTAACCAGTAGTACAGCAACTTGGCGATCTCAACCAGCAGCACAGAAACTTGGCAAACAATTGAATTGCTGTCAGTGAGAATGCACCGTAACTGGGTCGTATGGTGTAGTGGTTAAATATCCGGATGGGTAACTTTGCTCTCAAGTTGCTTCAGTAGGATTGGTGTTTCAGTACGGAGCCACTTCTGCAGCCTGAATTCCAGCTTTTTGAATCTCTCCCGCTGTTTTGTCTTTGGTTTGTGACGTGTCTCTTACCCTCTTAGAAACGGGCAGGAATGAAAAGGCTGAATATCATAATAGTAGCTGAAGGTGCGATTGATCGTAACAACAAGGCCATTACCTCAGAACATGTAAAGAATGTAAGTACATGAGGTGCATAGAGATCCAGCTCATGCATTGACCCCTGACCTCTGTGAGCTCTGTATGTCCGCCCTCTCTGGCTTTGTCCTGTGTGGTTTGCTTAAACACACACACAGCTCTTTCTGGTAAGGCACTTGTGGTCACCTCTGAACATAACCAGCTACGGCTATCCTCTACTTACTGTATGTTTTGAATGCTACCTTAAGCAGGAGCATGCACATCTTCCAGTGCTTTACAGTTCAGTCTTATGTGTTCTTTCAGAATACTTTCTGTTACAAGACAAATTGGGTAAGCGTCACTATTAGTATTGCTCATACAAAAACCCCTAACTCTAAATTAGGGCTGTGCGATATGGACAAAAAAAAACCTATCGCGATTTCTTTGATCGATTTTAATCACGATTTTGACACACACAGACATGCTTTACAGTCATTAATGCATTCAGTGTGAATTTGAAACATATTTCCAAAAGAAAACCAATTAGAGCTTTATCAAAAAGCTGTACCATGTCTCTAGAACAGACATACGGCAAAATAATCACTAAGTAAAGGTGTAACAAAATGTCTCTAGAATATACATATATGGCAGAAAAAAAGAAAAAAAATCCCGTGTCCAGGGATTTATTTTTTTGCCATGCATTGGTCATAGAGCTCTTTGTGGCGTTGCCTCAGATGTTGAACTAGATTTGTTGCGCCAAGTTCACACGTACTCCGTCTGCAGTACGTATACAGTATGTGTATGCGGTGCAGAGGCAGCACGGACTAGTTTTGCTTTCGCACAGGACGCGTTTGCAGTCCGCTCCTGATCTGCGGCTGTTTACCACAAACACAACATTTATCCATTATTTTGATTTCAAATCCAAACTTTGTTTCTGAAAATGCTTTTTCAGCATTGTGATTCTCTTTTATCACAGTACAGTAATACAATCTTTCATAGACATATTCACGTTTAAACTCAATAAATATAACTTTGTTTAACTACCACCACGAGTGCCATCTATTAGGCTATTGCCTTGTTTATCTAAAAGTGCACTTTTCCTTGTTTTGAATCTAGCCAAAAAGCCACGTGTTGACTGTGAAACGGTAGACTTTAATTATATGCATTTATGGTGTAATTACTAAATTTCCGTGTCAATCCATGTTAATTTTTAACGCGAATAATGCGCTGTCACTTTAATTCAGCGCGTGCAGCACAGCAGAAATAGACTCCTTGCACGTACACCGCTTTTATTATTATTGCAGCTTAGATGTTCAAATAGCTGCAGTACTCCGACTTTGCCACAAGGAACAGTGCGTACGCCTGCTCAGACCCTGACGTGACGGTAAGTACTTTTCCACGTCAAAGACCGTTTTTATACATATAACCGTTGCCGTGGATTTTAGTGTATGCACACTCTAAGATCAAGTCTGTGCGTACGCACATTTTATAAATGAGGCTCCTGGAGCGCACTGCCGGACTGCAATCGCGTGCAGTGTGAACGCTCTGATCCATTAACATGGGCGCGGAAAAAATACGCACCACAGACGGAGTGTGTGAACCTGGCGAATAATAATAATAATAATAATAATAATAATAATAATAATAATAATAATAATAATAATAATAATAATAGTAGCCTAGTAGTAGTAATTATAAAACAATTAGGTTTCCAAAAGTAAGAATAAACTACGAATTCAAGTAAAATTTTCAGTCATCTTATAAAAAGTGAGCCATCCTACTTTTAAAATCACTTGGTATGACAACTAATAAAAAGTTAGTTAATAAAAAACTAATAAAAAAGTTAATAGCATACTGCGGGAGGTCGGGGGCGCGGAAAATCGTGCTATAAAGTGATTTAGAAATCGCACAAGCTCAAATCGCGTTTTTATGACGATTTCGTTTAATTGCACAGCCCTACTCTAAATTTTAAACTTCATTCCATATCTTGTCACTATTTTGTGGTACTGACATGAATGATACCTCAGACGGACACTTACAAAAATCATAGAGAAATAGGCTACATGTACTGTACATATGTGAGGCCCCAGCCTTATCCAGGCACAAAATATCATAGAAAAAAGTGGAAATTGTACATTTGCAAGTTAACACCAGCATCATGGTGGTATGTGTTACACAGGCAAGCACCACTCACATTTACTTTAGGCAATGTAAAAATCTAGATTTAGTTGTGGAAATGGAAACATTTATGATTATTTAGTGTGAGTGGGAGTACATTTCCTCAACCTGAAAAAAGTCTTGCAGGAGTTGAACCGATTACAATGTTTAGCACAGTCTCTGAATGCTAACTAGAGTGTGTGAACCTGGCGTTACGTTTGTATGCCCGCCCGGTCTGTTCTCTTCTCGTGCTCCATTTAGGCGCGTTGCATTCTGATTGGTTCGGATAGCATACTGCGGGAGGTCGGGGGCGCGGAAAATCGTACTATAAAGTGATTTAGAAATCGCGCAAGCTCAAATCGCGTTTTTATGACGATTTCGTTTAATTGCACAGCCCTACTCTAAATTTTAAACTTCATTCCATATCTTGTCACTATTTTGTGGTACTGACATGAATGATACCTCAGACGGACACTTACAAAAATCATAGAGAAATAGGCTACATGTACTGTACATATGTGAGGCCCCAGCCTTATCCAGGCACAAAATATCATAGAAAAAAGTGGAAATTGTACATTTGCAAGTTAACACCAGCATCATGGTGGTATGTGTTACACAGGCAAGCACCACTCACATTTACTTTAGGCAATGTAAAAATCTAGATTTAGTTGTGGAAATGGAAACATTTATGATTATTTAGTGTGAGTGGGAGTACATTTCCTCAACCTGAAAAAAGTCTTGCAGGAGTTGAACCGATTACAATGTTTAGCACAGTCTCTGAATGCTAACTACTAAAAATGGACTCTAATTTAGTGAGTAGCATGGAACGCTGTTCTGATTTCACCAATTAATGCTCGATTTCTTATTCTCTGCATGTGCATTGCAGCTTTCTTTTGAATCTTTATGCTAAATGCATGCATTCTTATAAGATATTCCTCTTTTTTTTTTTTCTTGTACAAAGGTTTATCATTAAATAACCTAATACTGTACAACATTTCAATTTAGTATTACATATGAAGGAATACTTCACCCAGAAATGAAAATTCTGGCATCATTTACTGTGACTCTGTTGTCATTACAAACTCATATGCCTTTCTTTTTTCGATGGGACACAAAAGGGTATATTTTGTAGAATTCTAACACTGTCCTCTTCAATACATTAAAAGTGACCAGGGGCTAACTCTAAGAAATAGGGAGAAAAAAAAAAACACCTATAAAAGTATTGCAGAAGTGAACCATACAACTTGTGCAGTATAGCCCAAATGATACAATAGCTTTGTGTTAGAAACAGACCAAAAATTAAGCAGCTTGGACGTATAAATAACTCTTTTTGTGTTCCAAGTCATAGGTTTCGAAAGATAATGAGTAAATGACAACACAATTTTCAGTTTGGGGTTAACATAATTATTAACATGTTATTTACTGTATGGTTAATGAACAGTATGATTATGGTGATAATTTTTACTTACAATTAAAAAAAAATAAAGGATTTGATTTTTTATTACTTTTTATTATATCTTGCATGATGGACAAGAATGCTTTTTTTTTTTTTTTGGATTCTGGTGAGAAACTCTTAGAGATAAAAACAGGAGGGTTGGGCAGCTTACATTAAGTACATAAACAGATTTGATGTCCGCACACTGCACGTGCTCTGCTGTTTCCACAATGATGAAGCACAAAATAAAGGCTCAAGTGCACTCTGGGGAAATGAAAAAAGGAAAAAAAATAAAAATAATAATAATGCAGGAACAGAAGGACTTAAGCATTTTTCCTAAGTGGTCTTCTGGGGGAATTTTTATTTATTTTCAACATTATGTTTATGGACATCTTCTCTGGCATGCTATCGATCACAAACAACACTAACAGTAGCTGGACCCTTGGATTCAACATGCATAAATTGGTCATAAAATCTGCTTAAACATAACACACAAGCAATACTTCAGATTAAATATATTTACTGAACACAACATGTAGGAGTTCTTAGTGCAGGGGGAACAAAGTTAAGTATGTAATTCCAAGGAGGATTTAAAATGACATTTTCTGTTTACATGGAATACAAACTATTTCTATACATGAAGTGACTAAGTGCACTACAGATTACAGTGCTGTTTTGTGTTTGTTGTCAGGCCAGTCGTATGGGTGTGGAGGCGGTTCTGGCGCTGCTTGAGACCACTGCAAACACGGCAGCCTACGTGGTGTCTCTGTGTGGGAACCAGTCTGTGCGGCTGCCCCTCATGGAGTGTGTGCAGATGGTAAGACTTGGACAGATGCCACGTCGGGTTTAGTGCTGTGATAATCAAGATCCTCACTCATGCAGTTCAGCAGAGGAATGAGAACACAGCATCACTGCTGCACTCATGAATCATTCCGGCATTTGCATCCCTATGAATTTATTTAAGTTTAATATCTAATTACATTTAGTTAATAAAAACTGTGTCTGTACAAAATGATTCACTTTACTTCATTACAGTAATGAAAATTAGATTTTTTAATTTTTTTACACATTACGAAAAATGTGCTTGTTCATCTAAAAATGAACTTTGCAAAATATATATTTTTTCAATGTTGAATTGGATTATGATCCCGATATTGTTTTTAATAAGTCAGTTCAACACCCAAAACAATCATGTATCATAACATTTACAGTATAATGGAAGTGCTTTTGTCTGTCTTGTAGACTCAGGAGGTGCAGAAGGCCATGGATGAGAAAAGATTTGAAGAGGCCGTGAGGCTACGTGGCAGGTGTGTTTCGTATGTTTTGTTTGTAACTTGTGGTGTGGCTAATTATTTTTTGTCGTTTGACTGTAGTTTTTTCCGACTGTGAGTAGCTTGTACACTACTGTTTTTTTTATGTTTTTGAAAGAAGTCTCCTTTGCTCACCAAGGCTGAATTTGATAAAAAAATACAGTAAAAACAGTAATATTGCAGTAAAATTTCAAATAGCTGTTTTCTATGTGAATATATTTTAAAATGTAATTCATTCCTGTGATCAAAGCTGAATTTGCAGCATCATTACTCCAGTCTTCAGTGTCACATGATCCTTCAGAAATCATTCTAATATCCTGATTTGATGCGTAAGAAAATTTCTTATTATATATGTAACAATAGCTATGTTTCCATCCACCTATTTTTATGCGCATTTTGGAATATCGCATTTAAAAAAAAACGGCCAGATGCGCAGAAATTCTAAAAATGCACATAAAAAACGTATGCGCACATTTGAGTAGGATAAACTTTTTATCCGATAAGAAAAAATGCGCATAAACTATGATGGAAACACATTTACCGAATCAATTCCTCCATGCGCTTCGAAAAAGTCATGTGACTTTGCGCTATGAGACGGGATAACTTGACTAGCAGCGGACCGATCTCGTTCACAGCATCTATATGTTGTTTTGGTCGTTCTGAAATGCCTGAGCAAAGTCTGTCGTCAAAGTATTTCTGTATAATTGTCTTACACGACTGCGTTCCCAAACAGCTGGCATCCGCCTCCGAAAGCAATGACCGCATTTATTGTGTTTCGTTTGCTCGCTCTGAGGCGCAAGTAATTTATCATATATGAAAAGTATTATATTCAGTGGCTTCTCCTACTTTTCTTAGTGATATTTATTGCCAGTTTACCAGGAAGTGACGATTTTGTTCTCTTTGACTCGTTGGATGGAAATGGTGCTTTATTCGCAAATGTTTTATGCGATATTCCAGTTTTGCGCATACGTTTAATTCAAATCTTTGGATGGAAGCATAGCTAATGACTTTTTGTAGTCTTTACTGTCATTTTTGATCAATTTAATATATTCTTATAAAAAATAATCTTATGACCGCAAACTTTTAGACGCTAATTTAGTTAGCTATTTAGTTTGAGCATAACTACAAATATAACACTTCTGTCTCATTAGATATAAGAATAACACTTATATGTTTGTGTGTACATGCAGCAGCTTTGAGAACAATCTGAAGACTTACAAACTGCTGGCTCACCGCAAACCAGAGTCTGAGCTTCCACACGTGAGTGTCGGATCCTGAGAGGGATGCTGCGTTTGTTTTACCCTGGTGATCTTTCACTAAACACCTCAATTGACTGACATCAGCATGCTGTTGGACCAGACTTAGCTATTCACAAGCCCTTACTGCATGCTGCGAGACAGAATTCCACCGCTAGCAGATGCTTCCAGAGGAAACCAAGATTAATTAGTCCTGCCACACATCTTGTGGGAATATTTCTGCTTGTGGATAGTTATTTTTAGCTCTATTCTCTAGCTATTATCATCATCTCAATGTCAAATAATCCTTAAAGGGCCTTTAGTTGTGTTAGCTTGCTTTTAAGCTTCAAAACTAACACCAGGAAGCAACACTATAAGTTTCTAGTTAACAATTATCCACCAACAGGCTGTTTTTACTATTGAACATTTAATGCATATGTATGCAAATGACCTCTTTTATGATTGGTTACCCTCCACACCACTTCACATCAGTTGCTAAATAACAGACATTGACGTGTAAACACAGGCCATGTGGTGAAAAATGTATGTTTGCGATGTCAATACCATAGTGTTTTTGTGGTGAATACAAACAGCTTCTGCAGCTTAGATTCTATCAGTCATCTATGTAGAATATAGAATAATTAAATTAGATAATTATAAATGATTAAACTGCATTCCAGAAGTTTCAATAACGAATTTTTCTTCAGGGTTTACACTTTTTATTACCATGAATTATTTTTATGAATTTACATGACTAGTCATTCATGATTATGTTTTGCACATAGAAGTTTCCCAGCGATTTCTACCATATAATATATTTTAGAGCTTGACAAAATTGGGAAAAAAATATTTGTATTGAGCGTTTTTATTATTATTTATTATTTTTTATAATTATTTCTTAAAACTTTTTAAGATTTTCTTATTTCCATGACTTTATCAGTTCTATAACTCACAGTTTCCAATGAATTTACACGACTAGTCATTCATGATTATGCAAATGGAAATCTATCCCTATTAAATATTTTATTTTACTTTATTTTACAGGTTTATAAAATTCTCCTATATCCAGGGTTTCCAAGACCATGAGAACCCTGATTCTCAAATAATTACAGCTAACATATTATTATTATTATTATTAGCTATTTAAGCTTATTTTAAAGTAGTTTTGTCCTATTTTAAATAATTCTAAGCTATCTTTGGGCCCCCTTTGGGCAGCTTGCTGAGGCCCCCAATGAGTCCCGACCCCTAAGTTTGTGAACCACTGATGCATAGTATGCTGCTTTTCTAAAAGCCTTGTGCAGACCAGAAAACAAGAGTCTTGAATGGCACAGCTGCTGCATCACAGTCACCAAAGTCAAACAGCCGCTTGTCCAGAAGTGTTTAGTCAATAATCATTCTCTGATGCTCTGGGCTGTGTGTCGAGTAAACGAAAGACCACATTACCCTGCACCGATGAGAATGGAAAACAGATTGATGAACCAGCCACAGCTGGTTGGAAACATTGTTCAATTCTTAATAGGCATTGAGTGGTCAACACAAAAACACGATGATGATCAAGAAATACCAGGCCTCAAATATACAGACATACCTGCTAGTTATATAAATAAATATGGCCATTTTTAATGTGCTGTACATGTCAGGCCGCATATATCCAGCAGGATTTACAGTAATCCACGAGGACGCTTGCTGTATTTATTATAGACAACCGAACATAAGTGAGTAATATAGCTGAAGGTTTGCTGGATTATGAGAAGTGATTTTAATGTAAATTATTGACATGTTATGTCTTCATCCCCCGTTCAGAGCGATTTTAATGTGGCTGTGTTGAACGTGGGCGCCCCTGCCGCCGGCATGAACGCCGCCGTGCGCTCTGCTGTCAGAGTGGGCATCTCCGAGGGACACAAAATGTTCGCTGTCAGCGACGGATTTGAAGGATTCAGTAAGGGACAGGTAAATATTTATTTCTACATTCCTATATTAATAACCATCCAGCAGGTTTTAAACTCAGCGGCTTATATGGGAGACATTCAAGAACCGCAAATGTGCTTCACATATGAGCAAAATTGTGCCATGCTTGGACGGCAAATAAAAAAAATGTGCATTTACCCCAAATTTACATTAAGTTCAAGTCATTGTTTTTACTGGCCACATATACAAACGTTATTTTGTGTAGCATTACTAGCAGCAGCATCTAGGTTACAGCAGTTACATACTGAATTTTTTAAATGCACGCTCACATCCAGTTGTGCTAATTGTATTGCTTTAGTAATTGCATTAAGAGCAGGAAGTACTCAGCAAATTAACACGTTTAGCTCAAGTAGGTGTTGAAAACGGCACAGGCTGTGGCGTCGCCTCTATCCCTGCTCTGCTGCTCTGATGCAGAACATGACAGGATTAACATAAACTAATTTACCACTGCAGTACCACTCGGGGCTGATTGGGGGCGATATGTAAAATCCATTAGCCGTATGCTAAGAGCTTTCAGAGGAATCAAGATAAACACGGAGCAATTAATTACATTACATGGGCTTGGCCCTTAGATTAAGACATGATCCACTAATTATCTTGTTGAACAAACTCAAGGAGGATTAAAACTCGGTTAGAGAAAGCAATGCCCCATCAAATCCATATGTTTTTATCAATAGCTTCAAAATATATATATATTTTTTTTAAATAATGTTTTTTAATTCTTACTTTCTCTCTGGCCCTGATGCATTGATAGACTTATTGAGTTATTTTTGGCTGAAAGAGTCTCATCATAGCGGAGTTCTCCATTATGATCTCTTTAGCCAGTCTAATCCAATAAGCCAATGAATTTAGAAAGCACATGAGTGGTAATCGCATTTAAACCATGTGGATTTCTATTTGAAAAACTACATAAAAAAAAATTACTGTAAGTCATTATATAGGGCACTTTTGACAAAGAGCAAAATAATGTTGCCTTTAAAGAATAAGTATTTTTAAGTATAGACCCTTGTGACAAAAAACACTTGAGCATAAATTTAAAAAGAGTACAATAATTTAAAAGAATATGCTTAATTTAAAAGCGCAAACTGAATGTAAGGCTTTAGGTTTAATTGCAGGTTAATTGCAATTAAATGAAAATGTAGTTTAAACTATATTAAATGAAATTAGCTAAACTTTAAAATACCTTTTAGATCCACTTTAATAGTACTTAAGTACTTCTTTGTATGTAATTTCATCATTCCCTCTTTTGTCTTTTAAATATGATTAATGTATATTGTCAAATTTACTGACAAGCATTTATGGTAAACTAAAATATACTTCATGCCATTTCTATTGAAACTTGTTTGTCATGTATTTAAATGTATTAGTAATTACACATTTGCAATGATGAAGACAGCAACTATGCAAATATGAACAGTTTTTATATTTTAGATTACAAATGGATTACTTTACATGTGTTTTAGTATGTTAGTCAACACATCAAAATATGTGTACTTCTTCAAAGCACAACGAAATATTAATAAAACAATGATTTAAAATGTACTTTAAAGTAAAACTTTTATTTTCACATTTTTTACAAAGTGCACTTTTTACAATTACGATAAGAAACAGTCATGAAAGTGTACTCTCTTTAAGTACACTTCAGTTTAATTTTATTTCATTCATATTTTATTATCTACAAGTACAGTTTTTAAAAATGTACTTTTTATATTTGAAGTACACTACAAGTGCACATTCAATACAGTTAAGCACACTTCTTTTTCACAGGGGATAACCATGGAAAATTCTGTAATGTTAAATATGAAATGTAAATATAAGATAGATATTTTTGTATTTGTATTTTATATTTTTATTTATGAAGCACATTTCAATACAACCGAGGTTGCCCAAAGTGATGAAATAATAAAATAATGTACACTGTGTGTATAATGATGTGTAATAACTGCATATAAAAGTTCCTAATGTAATAGTAGTGGTATAATAATGTATGAAATATATATGTGTGCTCTTTTTAAGCGTATTTGAGTATTGAGTTGTTAGCTTAGATAACTTATTCTTAGACACGTAAAAAATGTCAAGCTCATTAACTGTTGTTTATTTGATGTGAAATACCATTTGTGTGGAGCGCTGACTTGCTGCCTATCTCAGATTAGTTATTTACAAGGTTTCTGTTCATGCGAGACTGTCTCTTAGAGCAGTGTTTCTCAACCAGGGGTCCGTGGACCCTAGTGGTCCTTGACGTAAGGCCAGGGGGTCCGTATAAAGTATGAATTTTTGTGACATGACATGTTCCCATGAAAGAAAAATCCAATATAGCTGATGATATGGCCAAATACTGGACAAGTCAACTAATTTGAATTATACTTGACTGCATTTGGTCCTCACAAAGATACAAATGATACATAGATGAGTCAATTTTGTTCTGGGGGTCCTTGAGGATGGTTCTGAATTGGACTGGGGTCCGGTACGCCAAAAGGTTGAGATTCACTGTCTTAGAGGACAGCTGCCCATGTAGATATCTAACCTTCTCACTCGCATTTTGAAGTATTAATGTACTCTTAAGAAATTGTTGTTCCAACACATTTCTGATCCACTATGCTTCCCTTCCTCAGATAAGAGAGATCAAATGGGCAGATGTAGGCGGATGGACGGGTCAGGGTGGATCCCTGTTGGGAACTAAACGGTATTTATCTTATATACAAAGGCTATGTTGCAAGTTTATATACAGATTTTAGTAATGCGGATGATTTTGCATGCAATGTGCTATACTTAGTGCAATGTTTTCAAATTTGCAGAACGCTTCCTGCAAAGCACATTGACAAAATTGCAGAACAGATGCGAAAGTATAACATAAATGCACTCTTAGTGATCGGAGGATTTGAGGTATGTCTTCCAGCCTGGGCTTTAGGCATTTTAATGTTTTATCTTGCATTTAGTGTGTCACAAGATGGTCATTTTTATAAATAACTTATGTGCTTCACTGTTGATATTATATATAATATTTTAAAATTATTTTATTTGAAAATAACTTTTGCATTTAAGTAAAATATAACCACATAAATAGGTGACACTTTGCAATAAACTTCCTTAACTACATTAGTCAACATGAACAATGAAAAACTCTTCTACAGCATTAAGCAATCATAATTAATGTTAATTTCAACATGTACTAATACATTTTTAAAACCTTTATTTTTTTAACTTGTATCTGTTAATATCATTTAATGAACCTGAGCTAACATGAACTAAGAGGTGTATTTTAATTAACTAACATTAACAAAGATTCATAAATACTGAAACAAATGTATTGCTCATTGTTAGTTAATGCTAGTTAATTAAGGTTAACTAAGAAAGGTTATTGTAACGTGTTACCCATAGGTATTATAGTCATTATAACATTATTAACAATAAAAACATTATTTGATATTTATATTTTAATTTGTAAACTATATCAATCATTTTGCACCTTGATGTCTGTCCATTTAGTTTTATAAAACAATTGTAATTCTTAATTTAAAAAGTAACTGATACTGTTTTGTTAACTTGCCTGCCCTCTCCATCATGTTTTCCTATGCAGCATCATCTAAAGCTTCATGTGCTCCTGTTCTTTTCATAGTGAACATCCAAAATCATTGAAAAATGGTGCTAATCACCTTCTTAGCAGGCACCGGTTCATCTTTCAGCCGTTTGAATGAACGACGTTAGCATTCACACAGCTGAGATGACAAACGGCGCCATTAAAGACTGAACAATGACCCACAATTCCAGAATAGCTTTGAATGTCATCTCATGCTTTGAGTTCAGGCTCATCTTCTCTCTTTCTATACAGACGTCATCAGGATGTGTGTGTATGTATTTTACGCAAGTGTTTCAATTTGAAGTGTGTGTACGGAGTGGATCCTCTATCTCATGCTCTCCGTAGTGATGGCCTTGGCTTTCCACTCGGTTCCTTCCTCGTCTGTCTCACTCATTCCATCCCCATTCCCAGCACCGGTGGCGGTTCACTAAACCCCCGGCTCTGCCCTGCCCTGCAGGCCTTACTGGGGATCATGGAGTTGTTAGCAGCCCGCGGGACTTATGATGAGTTGTGTGTGCCAATGGTCATGGTGCCGGCCACAGTCTCCAACAATGTGCCCGGCTCAGATCTCAGCATTGGTGCAGACACGGCTCTGAACGCTATCACTGATGTAAGTGAGGCTGGAGGGCACCACCCACCAGCCAATCACATCAGAGGCTCTGTCTTCTCTTTACAAGCCAATCACAGAGGCTCTGCCTTATGTTTACCAGCCAATCATGTCAGACTAGGCTACCAGCAGCAGTGGGTTCCCAAACTTAAAGCTGCGGTCACATTTACCATTGTTCAGGGAATTTTCGCGGACGAAATCCAGTCACAATTGAGAATTTTGCACGAGAGTGAAAGATTGCGCAACAGATTTCATATTCAAGTTCAGATTGGCCAACAGAAAGTTACTTGGTTTGAAAGTGACCGCTGCGTGAACTATACTTCATAAATCGCTACACTATCGGCAAAAAACTATGGATCTTTCTCTGGCTGCAAAATTTCGCCAAAAGTTCACTAATGTGACCGAATCTTTTTCCCAGCAGGCACGCAACGTCATAAGACATTGATATTTGGTTACATTTCGGTTGCGACGGCAGGTGACCAAAATTCTATGCCAATTCAACGTCTAATGTCAATGCTAATTTGATGTCCAATGGCGATGTCAGCTGTCATTGATATTTTTAGTCGTTGATTATTTTTTCAAATTGCCGTCAAATACTGACGTCAACCCGATTTTCGTTCTCAACCAAAATGTAACGTCTGTCCAATGTCAACCTAACATTATAGATAGGCATCCAAGTCACCATAATATAATGCCTAATGAGCTAAATAAATTCAAATGAGCTTTAAGCAAAACAAAACAAAAACATGTGCAACTGCAATGCTCATTCATCATAGTAAAAAGTAAAAAAAAAAGTAAACTGAACATTTATGAACAAAGGATACACATACTGTATGTTGCCTTCAACAACCAACAACATTTTAGGAATTTTAGTAGACATAAGATGTATTTTATTAAGATATGTCCGGGCCAAATTCAGCTTCATTTTCTTTAAGCAAAATATTATTCCTTATTGATTTGGTGGTGAAATATGACCTGGACATGTTCTTTGTAGTTTTGTGAGATTTAGCCTGATATTTCTACATTAAGCATTAATGTTTCGGCTGGTAAATGCAAAGGCGAGCCGTTAGCTGACAGGTAAGTGGAGATGACATAATGGCGGCATGTTTTGAGCTGTGCTTTTTGTTGTGGCTGTCATGTGACTGAGCCTGTGCTGTGTTGTGATCACACTGCATTAACCCGTCATAACAGATCGCTGACCCCGGCTAACGCTGGTGGAACTGGAGTCTGTCTGCATAGTTTCTTTACATCCATGGTTTAAACCAACACAAGCCTTACTAAAGCACAGGCTACTGCCAGTTTTTCATATATATAACATAGTTCACCTAAAACCCTCATGTCCTTACAAATTCAACGTTTTGTTGAACTCAAATACAACATAATAAAGATATATTAGATGTTTAAAAAATATGAATGGAGACTAGGGATATCAAGCTTGAAAAATGCTCCGTAACATAACACCAAAACTGAAATCTTCCCTTCCTTCGCTTCCAAATATCGTTCTCTTATAAACAGGGGTGCACATAAGTTTTTCAGCCTGGTTCTCATATGAGAACCTGGAGATTTGGTTTGGTCCTCACACGACACATGGACATGGTGTGACCCATCAAATATAACTATACAAAATAAATTAATAATAGTGATAATATTATTGCACTTTATTTAGATTTTTTAAAATAAAATAATAAACTAAATAATAAAGTGTGATAATACTACTTTATTTTAAAATAAAAAGGGAGTGTTAAATAAAAATACAATTATTTTATAGTAAACTTAAAAATAAAATGCTAATATTTTTATTATTATTTTAATTTGAACCTTAATTATTATTTTTAATTTGAATTATTTGAATTTTTCATTTTCAAACTTAAAATCAGCAAGCTTTTATTTTGGCGGGTTGCCGGCAAGTAAGAATATGCGCTTCTGGGTTTAGCGCTGCCGATTGTAGACAGTGTTGCCAAGTCCGCAGTTTTCCCGCGGAATTGGGCTACTTTAACACTGTTGCCGCGGGTTGTTTTTCATGTCCGCGGGTTGAAGCGACCCCAATAACGTGATATTTAGCCCCTGGAATGCGAATTTTACTGGAGGATCCCTGTCGAAAAACGTGTATTTTACCCCCCGGAATGCGATTTTTACCGGGGAACCCCTCTCGAAACGTGATTGGGCTAGCTTTGGACTAGTTTTGAGTAGCAATTGGGTGGGTTTTGTTGCGAAAACCTGGCAACCCTGATTGTAGAGCGACAGTGAATGAAATGTCACAGTTTTGCATTGTGCTTTGAAACCGTTAGCGGGTAGCTTAGATTTATGCTTTCAGTTTGAATAGAAATCTTATACAGTACAGTTTGTCGATCTAAAATGGTAATCGTGCATTAACAGCTGTCAACCATGTCGGTACGCAAACGCGCGGTCTGAACTAATTTACACAGCGCATTTCTTATTTTAGTCGCGCATGCGCACCTGCGGACCACTTATGTGCACCCCTGCTTATAAACATTTATGCATAAAGCGTCAGTAGCCAGGTTTCCATCCAAGGTTTTTTGGAAATGCCATTTATCAATACAATTTCTCAAATGTTGACCCATTTAACTTTAGTGCATAAATTCTGTCAGTACTTAAAATGTTGCAAAAACTAGTTTGGAAACACATTTTGTTGAGAAAAATACCATTAACATAAATAAGTGTAATGCTGCTCCCATTAAAGCGCTGTTTTTCTGCAGTGTTCAAAGGTGTGTGAAATCTATTCTATTAATATTGTTAAATTGTATATATTTGTAAGAATGTTACCTCTCAAAAATCATGTATTCTCATTTTTATTTTTTTATTTTGTCTATTTAAAAAAAAAAATTATTACATGCCTTAATTTGAGGTTCATTTTATTTTGTATTATTTTACATTTCCTTATTTAAAAATTTACAAGTATTGTGAAATTAGTAAGCAGTAAAATGCCAATTGCTCTCATTGCTCTCTTCATTTTGCAAAGATTTGGGATGTAAAAGATAAAATAATTTGCGATACACTTGAAATTTTGAAAACTTGAATGTAAACAGCTAAAGGGAAGACTTTTGCGGTAAAACTAATGCAACAATTATTATTATTATTTTTTTTTTTAAGGGATAACATCACACACGCTATTTTACTGGAAAAAGGCCAATTGGATGGAAACAGGAAAAAAAAAATTTGTCGATAATAGAATAGCACAAATAGTGGATGGGAATGTAGCTACAGACGTCATACCATGTTTGAAGATTTTCAGCAAAAAAACTCACTTAAAGCTACTGTGTGAGTTCAGAAGGTTTCAAATATAGTGCGTTATTAATATATAATTCTGGAAAAGATTTATTTTTCACGGGAAAAAAACAACAGTGGTAATGACATGAGGGTAAATAATGACAGAATTTGGGTTAACTGACACATTTAAATACAAATCACAATCACAATTTAGGAAGCAAATAGTATGCAAAACCAGTCGGAATTCAGAATGCTTATGTTCCAATGGCATCATCACTGTCGGTTACAGTACACTACTACAGTACACAGTGTTAATGTGTGGACTGAGTCATCTTGCTGCCTCTGTGTCTGTTATAAGTGTGCAGAATCTCTGCCGTTTCGCTTCAGTGTTTTGCCACGTGACAACCCTGTATGCGTGTGACTGCGAAAGTCAATCCGACCCCATCCGTACCCCCGATCCTCTCCCCCTCGACTCGCAATCAGAAGCCATGGCGGCCATCACACGGTGGGTGTCCCATCAGCAGGGTCCGCTCCTGCACCAGTACTCCCCCTGCTGGTCTAACGTATGCATTGTGCTGTCCCCTGTGGTCCCCTGCTGTGTTGTGCTGACCTGCCAAAGGCCTTAGAGTGTCTGCTGCAGCTGTGTGAGGCTCGGTCCAGCTATGAGGAGTTTTGCATCCCGCTCTGTATGCTGCCTGCAGTCATTAGTAACAATGTGCCCGGCACTGACCTTAGTATCGGGGCAGATACCGCCCTCAATGCCATTGTGGAGGTAAGATGATAAACCTCCTTCCTGTCTGCAAAGGAGTCATTCTTAGGAAACAGCATTATTTCTACCCAGACACATTACTTGAAATTCTATAATTATAATTTGAATTTGTGGCAAGCCTGTTACATTCACATTTTGGCGCTGAATGTTACGGGGTTGAAATGGCAAAATGTTTAATAAAAGTGTTAGCTTGCCGATAGCACATTATGTATAGTCAGTATTCTGTGCTTAATATTAATATTTTTCCCCATAACAGAGTTGAAATATGGAGCTTGACAAGGCCAAAAGACCATTGAAATAATTATAAAAATGATAAGATTACATATTCTTTATTTTACATTATGTGTATAATAATAATTTGTGCATAATTATAATTTGGAAAAAAAAAAAAAACAGGTTATGTGGCAAGCCACACAATATTACGGGGTTGAAATTGCAAAAGGTTTAATAAAAGTGTTAGCTTGCAAATATCCCATTATTTTATGTGCTTAATATTAGTATTCTTGTCCATAACAAGAGTTGAACTCTTAAGACTGACCAAAAGAACATTGAAATACCACTAAAGATTATGCAATTATATCATCTTTATTTTACCTTGTAAATGTTTTATAGCTTTTATTTTTTTTATATAAATATAATTTGAATAGAATTTAATATCCGATTAATATAATTTTAAAAGAATGTGCCAAGCCAATTAGATTCACAATTTGACAAGCTGAAATTGCAAAATGTCTAATGATGATGTTTGCAAATATCACATTTACAGTCAGTATTCTAGTTCTTCATGCTTAATATTAATATTTTTCCCCATAACAGAGTTGAACTTCAGTCTGTCTGACAGCCCCAAAGTATGTATTAATAACACATTGAAATGTAGATAAACCTATCTCTGTTTGAACCACCTAGTTACTTAAAATTATAATGTTATTCACTTAAATGTGATGCCAAACCAATTTTTAAAGGGAAAATATCACAGCAAAAGGTCGTTG